GTTTCCGGCGGAGAGAGAAAGCGTGTTAGTATTGCTGAAATGATGATCACCGCTGCCACTGTTCTGGCTTGGGATAACACTACCCGTGGATTGGATGCCTCCACTGCTCTCGATTTCGCCAAGTCGCTTCGTATTATGACAAACATATACAAAACCACCACCTTCGTCTCGCTGTACCAAGCTTCCGAAAACATATATAATCAATTCGATAAAGTTATGGTCCTGGACCAAGGTCATCAAGTCTTCTTTGGACCCATTCATGCCGCGCGTGCTTATTTCGAGGGGCTTGGCTTTAAGGAGAAACCGCGCCAAACCACACCTGATTACCTTACCGGCTGTACCGATCCTTTCGAAAGAGAATATAAAGATGGACGAAATGAAACAAATGCTCCATCTACTCCCGCTGAACTGGTCAAGGCCTTTGACGAATCTCGGTTTAGTGAGGACCTGGACAAGGAAATGGCCCTCTATCGTTCTACCCTCGAGGTGGAGAAGCATATCCAAGAAGATTTTGAAATAGCCCATCATGAAGCCAAACGAAAGTTCACATCGAAGTCCTCCGTTTACTCGGTTCCATTCCACCTTCAGATTTTTGCTCTTATGAAACGCCAGTTCTTGATTAAGTGGCAAGACAAGTTCTCCCTTACTGTCTCATGGGTCACGTCTATCTCAATCGCTATTATTATCGGAACTGTCTGGCTGAAACTGCCAGCGACTAGCAGTGGTGCCTTCACACGAGGTGGCCTTTTGTTTGTCTCCCTGTTGTTCAATGCCTTCAACGCATTCGGCGAACTTGCATCGACTATGGTTGGACGACCTATCATCAACAAGCAACGAGCTTTTACATTCTACCGGCCAAGTGCTCTATGGATTGCTCAAGTGGTAGTTGACATGGCTTTCTCGTCTGTTCAAATTTTTGTCTTCAGTATCATTGTCTATTTCATGTGTGGACTAGTTCTGGAGGCAGGAGCGTTCTTCACTTTTGTCCTCATCATCATAACCGGATACCTTGCTATGACATTGTTCTTCCGTACTGTCGGCTGTCTTTGTCCCGACTTTGATTATGCCCTGAAAGGCGTCTCGGTGCTGATATCGTTCTACGTGCTGACGTCAGGCTACTTGATTCAATGGCATAGTCAAAAAGTCTGGCTTCGATGGATCTTCTACATCAACCCGCTCGGTCTTGGGTTTTCACCCATGATGATCAATGAGTTCCGCCGCCTTACTATGAAGTGTGAATCTGATTCCCTTATCCCAGCCGGACCGGGGTATTCAGATATTGCCCATCAAGTTTGTACCTTGCCTGGCAGTAACCCTGGAGCGGCCACTATACCTGGCTCCAGTTATATCGGCCTTGCATTCAATTACCAAACCGCTGACCAGTGGAGAAACTGGGGTATAATTGTTGTATTGATTGCTGCATTCCTATTCGCCAACGCTTTCCTTGGTGAGGTCCTTACATTTGGGGCTGGCGGAAAGACCGTCACTTTCTTTGCCAAAGAGTCCAATGACCTTAAGGAGCTCAACGAGAAGCTGATGAAACAAAAGGAGAACCGTCAGCAGAAGCGAAGTGATAACTCTGGGTCAGACCTGCAAGTTACATCAAAGTCTGTATTAACATGGGAAGATCTTTGCTATGAAGTTCCCGTTCCCGGGGGCACACGACGACTTCTAAATAGCATTTACGGATATGTCGAACCAGGGAAGCTTACTGCCCTTATGGGTGCAAGCGGTGCCGGTAAAACAACACTTCTCGATGTTCTTGCTTCGCGGAAAAATATTGGAGTTATAACTGGTGATGTTCTTGTTGATGGCCGTCCACGAGGTACTGCATTCCAGCGAGGTACATCATACGCTGAGCAGCTCGACGTACATGAAGCTACCCAGACTGTTCGTGAGGCTCTTCGTTTCTCTGCGACACTTCGCCAACCTTATGCAACGCCGGAGTCTGAAAAATTCGCCTATGTCGAAGAAATTATTTCACTGTTAGAGCTGGAAAACCTTGCAGATGCTATTATTGGCACCCCTGAGACCGGCCTGTCAGTCGAAGAACGAAAGCGGGTGACTATTGGTGTAGAACTAGCGGCCAAACCGCAGCTTTTGTTGTTCCTTGACGAGCCAACTTCCGGCCTTGACAGTCAGTCCGCATTTAATATTGTTCGATTCCTTCGAAAGCTTGCTGCCGCTGGTCAGGCCATTCTCTGTACCATCCATCAGCCTAACTCTGCCTTGTTTGAAAACTTCGACCGTCTCCTTTTGCTACAACGCGGAGGCGAGTGTGTTTATTTCGGTGACATCGGCAAAGATGCAAATGTTTTAATCGACTACTTCCATCGAAATGGCGCTGACTGCCCTCCTAAAGCTAATCCTGCTGAATGGATGCTCGATGCAATTGGTGCTGGTCAGGCTCCTCGCATCGGTAACCGAGATTGGGGTGATATCTGGCGCACCTCTCCTGAGCTTGCAAATATCAAAGCCGAGATTGTTAATATGAAGTCGGATCGAATTCGCATAACCGACGGCCAGGCAGTTGATCCAGAATCAGAGAAAGAATATGCAACCCCATTATGGCATCAGATAAAAGTCGTGTGTCGCCGCACGAACTTGTCCTTCTGGAGATCACCCAACTACGGTTTCACTCGCCTTTACAGTCACGTTGCTGTTGCTTTGATTACTGGGTTGACGTTTTTGAATTTAAACAACTCTAGAACATCGCTCCAGTATCGAGTCTTCGTTATCTTTCAAGTCACCGTGCTACCAGCCTTGATTCTAGCTCAGGTAGAACCCAAGTATGACTTGTCTCGTCTGATTTTCTACCGCGAGTCAGCAGCAAAGGCCTATCGACAATTCCCATTCGCGTTAGCAATGGTCCTAGCTGAACTTCCATACAGCATCCTTTGTGCGGTGTGCTTTTATCTACCACTTTATTTTATGCCTGGGCTTTCTAACGAATCAAGCCGGGCCGGGTACCAATTCCTCATGGTTCTAATTACTGAGATATTCTCTGTAACTTTAGGACAGGTGATTTCAGCTTTAACTCCCAGCACATTTACAGCAGTCCTTTTGAACCCACCGATTATTGTCATCTTTGTGCTATTATGCGGTGTTGCGATACCAAAGCCCCAAATTCCTAAATTCTGGCGTGTTTGGCTCCACGAGTTGGTTCCTTTTACTCGACTTGTCAGCGGTATGGTCGTGACTGAACTCCATGGGCAAGAAGTTACTTGTACAGGCCTAGAAATGAATCGCTTTACTGCACCATCTGGTGAAACCTGTGGCTCATACATGGAAAAATTCTTTGCCAACAACGGACCTGGCTATCTGGTCAACAATACCACTAATATGTGTGAGTATTGTGCTTATAAGGTTGGAGATGAATTCTACCGGACATTTGGGATGTCATTTGATAATAGATGGAGAGATCTTGGTATATTTGCCGCCTTTATTGGATCGAATTTACTACTGCTATTTATTGGGGTGAGTATCATGTCTTTTGTTAAGCATGGAGAGGACCTTTCTTTGCTAATGAGCATTCTTGTTAGTCTCGATATCTCAATTTCAACCGACGATAAATGGTTCCCGCCGATTGATACCCCGCGTGCAAAAAGTTTTCATCTACTCTTCGGCTGCATATATTCATCCTCGAGCTTTATAGACTGTTTAATACTTCGGCTATTTGTTTGACATTGTTGAGTCCGGGTATATATTAAATAATACTGTTAGATAGTATTCACAATACATATAGGATATTTGCCCCCATAATTTAGAATCGATTTCTGCAAATACTTCACCATCTTAGGATGTCTTGATTGTGAAACAACTTTGGAGACAACTGAATCAGCATGATATGCTATAGAAAACAAATATTATTGAGTACAACAAAGCAAATAAAACATGTATATGTGCCTACAGGCTAGCTGCATTTAATATATATATCGAAAACTATTATTGGTCACAACGAATCAGTAATTTAAGTAGAAAGAGGACATTGGGATTTTGGATTTTGGATGTGTATAATTGCGTGGGGAAAACATACTTGAGATTCTCTCTGTCCGTCATATCGGAGAATGCTGTAGAATCAAGGTCCCGACCTTCCAATCCACCTTCTTGTTGGGATTGTAAATCGTCGCGCCTTTTATTTTCTCTCCATAAAAGGAAACCCAGAAGCGAGATAACAGCGACTTCAATGAGGTGTGATACTATCATTGACCAGATGCCGAGCGGATATGAAGGTCTATAAGAAAGGTTTATTAATTAGTATAGGTCTAGGTGTCAATGCTGAAGCGCAGACAAATGAAACGGTATTTCATACGCTTGTTCCGAGATATAGAAGAATGGACCAGCTATGTTGCCAGTGCAGTAGCCTAAGAACAACACGGCATTTGTGACCACCTTTTTTGTGTGCCCTTTGTGGATTTTATGTGGTCAGTAACGGGAAATTCTATGCAGGCAGAGAAATCACATACCAGCCGTGTTAGCAATTTGCATACTGAGTACTAAGACGAAAGCAGCATTGTATGGGCCAGTCAAATAGTAGCATATCAGTCGTCCAGCCTTTTGGTCGTGGGCAAGGAACCGAAGTCCAAATGCGCCTGCTATATTTAGTAGGAGAAATAGGATAATAAAGAGACATCGTCGGTTCTCGAATTTGTTATTTAGGTATACACAGAGCAAGATAGACACCGCAATGATAATCCCGTACGGTATCTATAGTGTTTATCGGGTAAGCTCAAAGGAAAGTAATTTGTTAGTTATTGGTGCGACAGAGAGGGACGTACCTGCATTAATGTAGTGACAAGGGTGGAAAACCCGAAACCCTGAATTATTATAGTTCCAAAGTTAGATATACCTCCGTTGGGAATGTTGCATCTGCAAGGCATTATTAGTAAGAGTGCGTAACCAAGGTAATGGCTAAATCAAGTTACTTACACCACTCCAAGAAGAAAAAATAGATAAAGTTTGTAGTCTAGGAATGCCTCCTTTATCTGATATGGCTTGAGTTATTTGTTTTCAATCCCTGTTTGGTTTGATCTGACTCGCTCAACAGCCCTGCGACGATCCCTTTGATTGAGGAACGGCGCTGTCACTGGGGAATCAGGGAGAAAGAGGAATATAACAATTCCCCAAGCACAGCATAATGCACCACTGAAAAAAAGTAGATGGTTAATAACCTTGGAAAAACGGTAACGCTGAGGACCGGGAAATTCAACTTACATGATAATGAATTCGTATTTCCAAGATGGCAAAGCCCCTTTGATACTTCCAATTCCATAACCAAGGAGGCCGCCTATAGCTATGCCAAATCCATTTGCAGTATACCACAAGCCTAGTCGTACGGGCTGTTCCTTTCGGGTGTACCACATGCTTGTAACAAGAAGAAATCCAGGGTCAGAACATGCCTCAGCCGCACCAGCAAGAGTACGAAGGACCGCAAGGGTAGTAAAATTCTTGCAGGCTGCTTGGAGAATTAGGAAGAAACCCCTATAAATGAAAGGATTTAGTGTCGAAATCCAACAAATACACCAATAAAGGTAAGAGTAAAACGAACCACATAAAGATATTCACCCCCAGATATTTGCCTGTTGGAGTTGAACTGTGTTAATTATAGGTAGTTTCCAGTGTAGAAAAGGGAGAAAAATTAATAACATACCAACCGGATACCTCTGCAACATGAAATTTGTAGGAAGTGCCCATACCAAAAATCCAAAGTAAAAGAGACTGCTGAGCCAGCTGTATTGGGTCCCTTTGAGATTTAGATCTTCTCGAATTCCAAAGACTGCTGCATAGCTCAAAGTCGTCTACCAGCCACCAAGATAATTTTAGATCCTGTGTATTCAATGGAAAGATAAACTAGAACGTATCTAGTACTGAATCTACTAACCTTGTCAATGTAGAAGAACGCATAGCAAACAGCAAGGTAAGGGAGAATCATCAAGTCGATCTTCCATAGTAGCTTTCGTGTCTCTTTTGGATCAACATATTCATGAAAGTCCTCTGGATTCGTGAATAGAGCCAGGGCAGTATCACCATCCCCGGACTTGGAGACTTTCCATTTGGACTGAGGTGCCTCTAGAGGTCCAGCGTTCTCTATCTCTGAAGCCCACGCTTCATTCCTGTCTCCTTGTTTGGATTTCATGGTGAAGGGGTCTGTTTTGCGTGCTGTTAACAGAGTTCAGCCGTGGGAGAAGACGTAGCCTGGTATATTTACAATCCAACGGTCACAGCCGAGCTGAAATTCTCGGTCTATCTCAGATTGTGTAACTGTGATCCGTGCAGCGTTTATTCAAAACAGTAGTTTCATTGGTGGCTTTGATCGTCACCTATGAAAGAGAGATATAGATGCCCTCAAAGACGAGTAGCGACTGAGTGATATCAGTGGTCTGATAAACCTACTGACTGCATGATGGCGCCCCTTGACCCGCATAGGGGGTAACTTGCTCTCCACTTCGTCCACGGGATTCCCCAGCAAAACCTGGGGTAATAAGTTAAAAGGAAGCTCCTGGTAGACGGCCGAGATGGATATGCTTCTCGGGTAGAACAAAGGGCGCCGTATCCCTTGTAACAGTGGCCTGCGGCTGATGGCATCGGCCTAAACTGCTGGCCACGGACTTGAGGCCTCATCCTGGGGGAGGTGGAAACGGAGATGACGCCGGCCTGAAGCTTTTGTATCAAGCTGGGGTAGCAGCTTAACCGATGACTATCATTAGCCTTTCAAGTATGGGCCATTTAATATAGTTATTAGGTACTCCGTACTTTTCTGGGTTTGAACGAGCTGGACGGCGATGATGCCGTTGGAATTGGAGTGGCTGGCATTTCCTGAGACTGCCAGTACAAGAGAGTGAAGGGCCGCCTGAGGCATCCTTAACCGATGATAGTTGTTCGAATATGGGCGACTTGATAGCCATTCAATGTACATGGTAGTTAACTCTTCGTCTCGGCTGGCGTTGGAGTTGGCCGTTCCAAAGACGAGCCGCCGAAGTTTAACTAGAGTGTCTGGCGGTCTGGGCGGAGCATTTCCGCGCTTTCATGAAATACGACATATAGGAGACTAACTACTACATGGCGACTGGACAAGCAGTGATAAACTTGACGCCACCATTATCTAGTAGAGATGGACAGTGGACACGAAAATAGTGATAATAGCTAGATAAGAGTTGGAATGCTCAGGAGGAGAAGGATATGTTTATTTCTACCATAAATGACAAGGCCCTTGTGGACCGGGCTCTAAAAGGAGAGATGTAACTACATACAGATTTAAAATGGTAACATTGAATTTCATGAAATGTGAAAAGAAGGAAATAGGAGGGTGTATCACTGCCATAAACAAATAACACGGGTATCGAAACACTGGAAAACATTACTCTCCTTCTTCCTTGATGTTATGCTCTCCAACTATGGTCAAAAACACCTGATCAAGAGTAGTTTGGCTGACGGAATAATAAGCAAAACCAAGTCTCTCCTTGCTCTGCTCAAGAAGCGAAAACAACCTGCTGGTACTGATTTTGCCGCTATCATTGTCTTCATTGCTCCGTCTAGTCGCTGGAGAGTCCGTATAGATATTATCATCTTCATCCGGTTGGTGCATTGGTGAATGCGAGGTACCATTGCTCGAGAGGGAAGATGAGTTACTGAGGCTGAATCGCAGCTGTCCATGGTATGTCTTTCGCTCAACGGATGCGCCAGGAAGTGTACTTACGACCCAATCACGGATTTCTTCCATGTCTGCCATGGAGGTATGCGGTGCGTTCTTATGAACGATATGGACGTGATATGCATTACCATGGCGGCGGCGTAGGTCGTCGGTGGTGCCAATTGCAAGCATTCTTTTGGCCATAATACCAGCGCGGGAAGCGAGTGCATCCGCCTCTTCCATGGAATGCGTTGTCAGGACCAACGATCGGCCAGGGACAACGGACTCGAGAGTGCGCCACATAACTCGCTTTGAAGCAGCGTCCATTCCAGATGACGGTTCATCTAGCAGTAGTACTGTGGGGTTGCCCATTAGAGCGATTCCGAGAGACAGCTTTCTCTTGTTTCCGCCAGAAAGTTGCATAGCCATCCTGTTCCCATATGGTGTCAGGCCAACGGCACGGATGACTTCGCGAACATTATGCTCGACGTCAGGAATACCTCGAATGCGTGCGTAAAATCGAAGATGTTCCAACACGGTCAGTTGATCTATAGCATCAAACTGTGGGCACACGCCCATATGGGATCGGGCAGTCGCTCGCTGTGTGGTGACAGGTATATTTTCAATAAATATTTCTCCACTGCTGTTAGACGGTTGGATGTCTCCTCGGATCAAACTGATCGTGGTAGATTTCCCAGCTCCATTGGGGCCCAAGAGTGCAAATACTTCACCTCGGGGTACTTCAAAGGTAACATCCTCTACCGCTGTGAACTTTCCAAATGATTTCGTCAAGTTGACAGCACGGAGGCCATCATTGGAACTCGACACACGTTGAAGTTCATTTCCAAGGTTTGGATCGCCGTTGACTTCTTTCTCTCCGTCAGATTGCTTCTTTTTAGTGAAGCGGCGGAAGGACAGGCCAGAATCCCAGAACAAAAGCACGCCGAACAATACCAATGCCTGTAAAATGAGGTAGAGAATAGGACCGCCGTATGCAGTAATGTCTCCGGGGTAACTGACTATCTCTTTGTCCCGACAAATAGTAGAGAAGACGTTCAGTGCCACGAAGAGGGCACGGATCACATTGCCAATGGGCGAGATAGCAGCAATGGCAAAGTGAACGACTAATAGGAGATTTTGTACCTGATCTGTCGGGGCATAGGTGACGACAGACATGTATGCAATCAGATAAACAAGGAATAAAATCCTAGTCGACTGTTAGCAATGCATTATACTTAAAAATTCAGAATGAAATTACTCACGCTTGACCTCCAGCAGCAAAGGCAAATGCAGCAAGCTGGGATGCGGCAAACACCGAAATGATATAGGCAAACAAGGTCGACGTGATGGCATAAAGGAAGAAGACAACAAAGAGATACTCCAGATGGTACCAACTAGCCGAAACGGCTCTGAAGATCACCACCATTATAACAGTCGATGTCAGGGCAATGCCAAAATCAAACGACAGATAAGACAACCATAAAGGAAGGCTTCTGACTCCATTGCTGTAGTGGAGATCTCTGACATGTCGAAGTTTCTCGATTGTAAGATAGAGGGAGAAGAACGCTGGATAGGCGGATAAAGCAAGACCCAGATAGATAACAAGCTGCAGTGTACTTGAAGCTGATGATATCCATGGGACTTCGAGAATCTGGTACTGGGTAGAGATGGAAACGTTGTTTAGAAGGTTGTTCATCTGATTCTGCAGAATAGAGGCCAAGGCAGGGCCAGAATTGCCTTGCCATGCAAATGTCGGCGGCGAAGTGTCATCTCCAAGGTAGAATCCACCAGGAGTAACATTTCGGAAGTTCATGGCAATGTAATCGTTGAATTCCCTAAGAGAGTTCACGATGTGAGTTCCCTCTCGCAAAGCGTCTGTAACATTCGCTGGTAGCGAACCACCACCAGCACCTCCTAACCCTCCGCCAAGTGACAGTAGGCTCCCTGCCGAAAGCTTGCTACTGGGCCCAATTACCAATTTCAGCTTCACTTGGTTCAAGATGGAGTTGACGTTTGATTGAGAAAATGCGGCCGGTCCGGTACAGACCGGAAGTTCATAGTCTTTCATGAGGAGAGATACTAGTCCGGCGGCAATAATCGGGAGTAGGAATGCGGCGATGGTAGGGAGATAATTCCGGCGAAGGATGATGGCTCTTTTGCAAAGGAGGACCCAGGCTTGCTGGGCCATCCCGATACGGCGGCCTGTAAGAAGATGTGGTGTCTGGTCAGATCCCTTGCCGGCCTTTCCGTCATCTTCCCAATTTTCGGCTTCCTTGTAAATCTCCTCAGCAACCTTTAAAAAGACATCCTCGATGGTCGGGCCACTGACACGGTACTCAGTGATTCCATTTTCTTCCAACTGGCTAACAAACCTAGCTGCTTGTGAGGAATCTGCAACGGTATAGATAACTTGGTCGTGTAGAATTTCAGTCCGCAGTGTCTCTGGCAAGTGAAGTTTTTCGGATGTAAGCCCCTGGTAGACATATATTCTATAGCCAGATCCGAGCCAGTGCTTGAGCTCAACACTAGAACCTTCCGCCTTGAGAACACCCTTCGATAAGATGGCAATGCTATCCGCAATAACATCAGCTTCGTCAAGGAAGTGAGTGGTCAACAAGATGGTTCGTTTCCCACGTTCAGCCAGGAGAATGTCCCAAATCTTTCGTCGAGAGATAGGGTCAAGGCCAGATGAAACCTCATCAACGCAGCAAACAGAAGATCCACCAGTAAACATCATGGCCAACTGTAGCTTTCTTTTCTGTCCACCAGACAGAGTTCCGGCACGAGCATTCAACTTCTTATCAAGGTCACAAGCGGCAACAAGTTCAGCAATGTCCGCCTTGCTATCTGCCTTGCCGAGTGTCTTTAAACCATTGAAGATTGAGATGTGCTCTTGAACAGTAAGCTTATCCCAGATCACATTCCTCTGTGGACACATGCCAAACCCGCCAGCATGTTCTGGGTAAGCCACAGAAACTTCACCAGATGTAGTCTTTGAAACTCCTGATATGGCGTCAAGGGTAGTTGATTTTCCACTGCCGTTCGCTCCGAGTAGAACCATGATTTCTCCCTTGTTGACATTGAGATTGAGGTTATCCACAGCCAAAACAGTTTCACGACGGCTTCCAAATATCGGCGCAATTGTCCTATGGAACCAGCTTGGTTTATACTCCTTTGTAAAACCGTTGAGGATAACGGCATAGGGCGCCAAATCCGATCTTATGCTTTTTCTGCATTTAGACCCGGTGCCATGGAGCAAACGTTCGACAACGGCAGCGAGGATGGGGAAGAGTATGATATGGATTATAGCAAATATCCAAAAGACGATACCGGGGATGCTCCAAGGGCTTTCCGGGGCGCTCTTCACGAGATTAGTCGCTTGGTCTTGCCTCTCCCATCTTGCCATGAAGACGACAAAGTGGATGAAGTTCATGGGTGGGAAAAGAAGGGACAATATTGCAACAGCAGCAGAGCTGGAAGGATGGACGACTTGAGCGATGATACCGAGTCCTAGGGAAGTGATAACGACCGTAATTCCACTTAGCTGCGCCTTTTTAAAGAAAGATGCTCCAAATAATGCAAACGATGCCAGGGATAGGCCAGACAGGAGTTGGAAAATGATCTGGATGCCAACGGAGGTTTTAGTAAATACAACGGCTTTTAGTATTATAGCCATTGCTATCCATCCCGGAAGGTAGATAAGGTCAAGCGCGAGGTGAATAGAAAGGAAGCGTGCAGCTTGAGATTTCCAAGGGCTCGTGGTTGGGATCATGCAGTCAATGAGCTGGGAGAGTCCCAACTCTCGCTCAGTTGCAACGATACCGGTCAACTGATAGGTAATGCCGATGCTGCCCACGAGGAATGCGATGCCCAGAATACTGATAATGGTCCCAGTATATCTGATACGGTTATCCTTGATACGTTCTTCTTCAGATTTTGACGTGTATGGGTATTGGAAGACCTAAAATCATATTTTATTTGGTGTTAGTTGTGATAGGATATTTGGGTTGAGATAAATCACTGAACTAACCTGTTTGTTAACTGGTCCATGAGTTCCATTGACAGAAGCAATGGCCCAGTCAATTTCATGTTGAAATGGGAGGATATACGTCTGGGCATCGTTGGTGGTCGATTCGACATCGATGTTCTTTCCGAGAGCTCCGTCCGCCTTGATGGTGTAGTTCCATCTGCCACCATTCCCCTCTGTCGGAGAGGAAGCAAAGACGGCTACGGCTACACAGGAACTCGTGCCCAAAATTGAGCTTTTGCATATGTCCTGGACTGCATTTGTCGATGACAAGACGGTAACCGATTTGCCGCTTGCACGGACGGGTATGGACACCCGCTCGATGACTCGGGCAATGTCACCATCTTCAAAACCATTATTGACAAAGACCACATTTGTCCGTGAAGAGGAAACCGCCTTCAGGGCTTCGTCAAGGGACAAAATGGGAGTAGATGGTGCAATTCCATATTTTGACGGAACGACAAATAAGTTTCGAGCGAACGATCTAGGCAGACGAGTAAGTTGATATGTTCAAGATCCGATAGGCAGAAGCACGAACAAGAAAGCAATAAAAATGACCGGCAGCACGAAAGCTCGCAGTGGCGTTGTAACATATGGTCGAACCAGTGCAAGCAGGAAGTTCTTTTTGACCAACGACCAGACCTGCCTGGTGAACGCCATCGTTGTGGCAGGCCTTTTTTTTCTTCTTTTCCCTTTTCACTCCAGCCTCGGTTGTGTCAAGAAATAAACGGATATTGAATTTTGACTCAACGTATCATCATAGATGGACGAAAAGTATCTTTGAATGTGTAGCGACACTATGGAATGGGTATATACCAGCATATATATGGCGGCTATGGCTGTCTTGTTCGAGATATTCAGGTCTAAAAAAGAAAATGCGCCGATGACGCGCGGAGAGCGTGGCGGATGTCCCAGGGCAAAGAGCAGGCCAAGACTTGAGCATTAATTCGTTCCAGATGAATAAGAACGAGAGGCGGAAGTATCTCCTGGGCCTGAGTTGCTATACGAGTGACCTTGCGTTGCGAGAAGGATGCCTCGATGGAGTTCCCGGATGGTTTTGGAGCCGACGCAGGGCTAAGTGGACCAGGGGGGGTTGGCATTATTATTTTGTGATGCCAACAGAGATACATATATCAAGGGCTGCCCTCCTATCTCATAACATAAGACAGCATGCATGGGAGCTTGTCCCCTTGGGCTTAATCAAAATCCTTCGTCTGGAAGAGAGTCGTCTGGGGGCAAGTGATTTGATATGGTCTTCCGGCTGGCTGTTCGCCATGGGTGCAGCAGCCATCACGGCCGGCGCGTAACGACACCGGCAACACAACGAGCAATGTGCGGTGATATACTCCGGAGATAGAATCAAGTCGTCGTCAGCAACGGCCGGCTATCTAGTGACGAAGCCTCTTCCCCAGGGTTGATGATCGTGTCTTTGTCTTGGAGTTGGGCGTTGGAAGCTCTCCTCGCGGTGCATAACTAGTTAACTAACTTCTCCTTTCGCCCGTAAGGCTGCTCGCTAACGGCCTTAAAACAGCTCCAGGCCTGCGACGGTGACGATGCCCTTGTCTCCAGCATTTGCATTGCTAATAATATGTAATATCAATGAAGGCCTGTCCGAGTCATGCTCGTTAAAAGCTGTTGGACTTACTGTCAGGCGAAGTCGTCGGGTTTCTTTGTCTCGCTCGGACGCGAGCTGGCGGTCCGTCTGTTGATATACACGGCCGCAGGCAGGATGACGATGAAAAGACTGCGCATCTGACGGCATAGAAAACTCCTCGAGTCTCATATCTTGTAAGACCGTACGTGTAACCGACAGAAGATGCTCTCCATTGCTCTTGTTGCACTTCGCTGACCAGCAAGACGAACATAACAACCTACGGAGCAAAACAACAGCCTAGACCAAGGCGAGAAGCTACTCTGTGCATCATGATCTAGTCTGAAAAGCAATATGAACTAATATCATCGACGGCTATCAGCTAATATTCCTGACTGCCGAAGCCCTGGCGGTATCACGGTCGAGCCAAAGGCCACAAGCCACAGGACCAGTGTGCGAAAAGGCACTGTTTATCTCTATTTGTGGTCGGCCACATGAACCCGGGAGTACGGAGTACGAGAGGATCTCTATATAACAAAGGCTAATGATGCCGTTTGTCCCATGGACTTGAGCATATGACCTGGTTGGGAGGATGGCAAAGCATCGATCGATCGAAACGGCATCAGAGACCTCGTCCAAGGTTTTCTGCAGCGTCTCACAGTGCCCTCTGAATCTGGGGAAGGCTGGGGGGAAAGAGAGGATCAGGCCTGGGATTTACCATATGGCTATTCAGGGGCTTGCTGATACAGCCAATCAGCCCCTAAACCGCCTCCCAGAAGTGCGCCCTTGATGGGTTTCCTCGGTGACAGGGAGAGCAGTCATAGGCGGCGCCACAGGTGGATTTAGCCTAGCCGGCCGCTCCCCAATTTTGAGACTCTGGTGCATAAATATTTACTTAAACCCGGGGAGTGCCGTCATCGAAGCTACTCCAGTCATAGCTGGCTTTTTTGTCGTCCACTCAACCTTTTGCTGTTGTAAGAGTCAGCCTCTTCCGTCTCGAATAACCAAGGACCTTCAGAGCTCTATCGTTACGGGTAACAGTTGATATATCGGTGTAAGTCGTGTGTATAAGTCGGCACGATGACGAAGAAGGTCCCCTCAATCGCCTCTTTCGGCTCTTCCAGCGAGTACCTTTCTCAGTCTCAGGCCAGCCTCCAGTACCGTCCGCGGCCCCTAGATGAATCCATCCACCATGAACACACCGAATTCAACCCAGGAGCCTATACCAGACCCTTCTGCGAGTTCATGACTAAAAACCCAACCATTTTCCACGCTGTCAACGCTTTCGCTGAGAAACTTGAGGCCAAGGGCTATATCAAGCTCACCGAGCGTGAGCCCTGGTGTCTCGCTCGCGGGAAGAAGTACTACGTCACTCGAAATGATAGTGCTATCATCTCTTTCGCCATCGGCAAGCACTACACCCCGGGCAATGGCATGGCTATCGTTGGTGGACACGTCGACGCTCTGTGCACAAAGCTGAAGCCACTCCCAACAGTTCCCAACAAAGCTGGATACGTCCAGCTCGGAGTCGCCCCTTATGCAGGTGCTATGAACTCGACCTGGTGGGATCGCGATCTCGGCATTGGAGGTCGAGTTTTGGTTCGTGACCCAAAAACTAATAAGGTCGAGAGGAAACTGGTCAAGCTGGATTGGCCAATTGCTCGCATTCCCACCCTTGCTCCTCACTTCGGTTCTGCCGCCGTTGGACCATTCAACAAGGAGACTCAAATGACTCCCATTATCGGGGTTGACAACTCGGACTTGTTCAAGGGCCCCGAGCTATCGACCAAGGACTCGTACGGTGGAGACCTAGGTACCGACAACTTTACCTCTACTCAGCCCAAGGGACTTGTCACTGCGATTGCCAAACAGCTTGACGTAGACCATAGCACCATTGTCAACTGGGAGCTAGAGCTGTTCGATATCCAGCCTGCACAGGTTGGTGGTCTAAACAAGGATCTTATCTTTGCTGGCCGTATCGACGACAAACTATGCTGCTACAGTGCCCATGAAGCAGTCCTTGCATCCCCTGATCACATGTCTTCCGGTATCATCAAGATGGTTGGCATGTTTGACGACGAGGAAATCGGCAGCTTGCTTCGTGGTGGAGCAGATTCCAATTTCATGAGCAGCGTCATGGAGCGGATCATCCAGTCCCTGTGCCGTGAAAGCTATGGACCCAACATTCTCTCTCAAACTGTTGCTAACAGTTTCTTTGTATCCTCTGACGTCACCCACGCTGTCAACCCTAACTTCCTCAACGCTTACCTTGAGAATCACTCACCTCGTCTGAATTACGGTGTTGCCGTTTCTACTGATCCAAATGGCCATATGACTACTGAGGGCGTTAGCACGGCGCTCTTCCAGCGTCTTGCCGTCAAGGGCGGCTGCAAGCTCCAAGTTTTCCAGATTAGAAACGATAGCCGCAGTGGTGGTACTATTGGACCCATGACTAGTGCAAGAATTGGTATGAGAGCTATTGATGTCGGAATTCCGCAGCTGAGCATGCACAGTATCCGAGCCACTACTGGTAGCCTTGACCCTGGTCTCGGTGTGCAAATGTTCAAGGCCTTCTTTGACCATTTCGAGGAAGTCGACAAGGAATTTGCAGACTTCTAAAAGTCTCACCTTGTTGTAAGGAGAAACCATGTATGCGGGGACATTTTTCCCGTCGATTTCGGTCATATATCTAAATTTTCAGGATCTCCCACGTTGGTTTCATCCCGCCTAATATAGGCACTTATATTTTTATAAAGATAGCATAGCTATAGATACTGAATGAAACATGCATAATTATATACCTAGAGTTCGTGGTCGTCTGATTATTGTCGCCGCTGAGTGATGAGTTTCCCAAATGGGAAATGGTCGAGAGTCGCTGATAAGATAAGCTTAACGCACAGACCCACTTCTATCTTGAAATTCCTTATCGAGATTTTTTTTTGGAAACAACATGCAATATTGCCTTCGCTTATCAACAACGCTGGAACAAGAGAAAACTTGCTGGAAAGAAATAATCATGTCTGAAAAAGTCGATACCAAAGAGCCGGAAAAGCCTGTCCACACTATAATACTCGATGCTGGACCGCTGATCAAGAACATCCCTTCAGTCTCAACCCTCCTCTCACAGTCCCACGTCCTCGTCACCACTCCATCGATAGTTTCAGAAATTCGAGATCCAGAAGCCCGTCGCCGAATAGAAACCCTTTACCTCCCATTCCTTACTCAACGGACTCCGAAACCTACCAGTCTCAAAGTTGTGTCCGAATTTGCTAAGAAAACTGGCGACCGGGAAGTTCTTAGCAAGAATGATTTGGAGATTTTAGCTCTGGCTTATGAGGTGGAGTGTGAGAGAAACTGCGGAGACTGGAGGTTGAGACGAGAGCCTGGACAGAAGGGAATAAATGGGTCACCTCCGGCACATCTGATTGCAGCAAGGGATGCTGCAAAAGATGGCGAGAAACAGCCGGAAATCCAAGAAAAGCAGGAGGACATCGAGGAGAATCAGGACGTAGCAGCCACGGTAGAAGAGCAACAGCCAGATATCGCGGTGGAAGAAGTCACTCAAAAGATAGAAAATACGACAATCGAACCGAGTCTTGAAGCTGCTCCAGAGGAATCAGCTTCACATCTTCCAGATAAGGATGCTGAAACCTCCGGTAACGACAACGGCGAACCTATCGATGATGACGATGAAGAACAGGATGCCATACCGATAGATGAATCAGATTCTGACCCTGATGGCTGGATCACTCCCTCCAATTTGAAGAAACGACAGATTCGCGATGCCGCACTTGGTACAGCCGCACCAGAGACAAAGGTTATGCAGGTTGCCACTATCACGGGGGATTTCGCCATGCAAAACGTCCTTTTACAAATGAACCTCAACATTCTTTCACCCAGCAACATGCAACAAATTCGTCAGCTAAAATCCTACGTCATGAGATGCCACGGTTGCTTCACTGTAACAAGGGATATGTCTAAGCACTTCTGCCCCCGATGTGGACAACCCACCCTTAACAGAGTCTCTTGTTCAACATCAGGCAAGGGACAGTTCCGAATACATCTAAAGAAGAATATGCAGTGGAACAACCGAGGGAACAAGTACAGTATTCCCAAACCTATTGCTGGCACCGCCAATACAAAATGGAGCGGTGTTGGTGGTGGTAAGGGAGGGTGGGGAATGGGACTGATATTAGCTGAGGACCAAAAGGAGCACATCAGAGCCGTTACCGAGGAGGAGAGACGGAAGAAGAAAGGAAGAGACCTCATGGATGATGATTATTTGCCTTCCATTCTAAGTGGAGACAGACAGAGGGCAGGTGGGAGAATTAAGGTCGGAGCTGGCCGCAATGTCAATTCGAGGAAACGGAGATAGAGGTGAACTTGGGAAGCTTAACGGCAATAATTATGACGATTTACGCATATGGGTATGATCTATAGACGCAAAAAAGTACACTGCAATCAAGAAACATTTTAGTTCAGCTAGAATCATATGAATCCATAAATTTATGCTTCGTAGTATATATTTACAATACCGCGGAGCTTCGAGGAAGGAGTTCAAATCTCAAGTATGAGCTCAAATAGTGTATATCCTATGGGATGCATTTTTATTCCTGACATGCCAAATCCGATATGAATCCCACAAATGTAAAAACGCCATGCGCCTCCGTTTTCAAAGCCAACAATTTCACGATTTCGATTCTGACAAAGAAGGTAAAAGTTAGCAGACTACTCAATAGTCTAATTTCATCGACCTAGGACTATTATCGAGTATCCACGTACCGGCTTGTTGGGTTAGAAGTAGCCCATAACGCTTCTTCAGGGTAACTCGTTGCCTGCAGATAAGACGAAATCAGTACAATGCGCAAAGGCCGAGCGATAAATCCACTACTCATGTACATGTAGCTCACCTCGAGTACTTGTCATCAGGAGAGAATCTGGCTGGGTGGGCAGATTTGGTGACCTGGCCGTTGAGGATCTTCTTGAGGGTATAGACTCGCTTGCCCTCCGAGTCGAGTGTGTACATCAAATGCATGCTGCAACGCTCGTTAGATGGTGAAAATGGAGCAAAAGTGAGGGATAATTAGCAGTACTCACATTGCGACGGATTCTATACCGGCCCTTTAACAGATATAAGTGTCTCCAAAGCAACAAGTTGATCGTGAAGCTCTTCAACACAAAAATAAAAAAAAAAAAATATTTCGAAGTCGCAACCCGGAACTTTGGAGAAAACTTTTGCCGCGCCGCGCACACTAAATCGGGACAAAAAGCTTCAACTTTTTTTCAACCTCGACAACAGCAACAAACCCGTCAAAACAAAAACAAGACGCTTTTCCTTGACTTGCGAGAAGGGAATATGTCCTAGATATGTGGAAGTAGCATATCTAACATCTGCCCTGATATTAGAGACTTATCTTGGGCTGAAGAAAAATATGGAAGTGAGATGAGAACGGAGCGACCCATTTCTAGTTATTGCTGTGAGTATACCCTTCTTCTACCATGATCCTTAATGGATTAGGATGAACCAGAAGAATTGCGCCGTGCGGCGATGATTACAACTATATTCGCTACCTAGATCATCAGCACTGATTTCTAGCTGTTGTCGATGATGGTGCTTTTGTACTACAACGGTATCTGAGTCACACGCTGCAATTTTTGACAATCCTGGTCTCTCGCATCCCACCTGTCATTGCCGGCTATTATGCTAACAACGTGGTCTCAAAGAATATATAGGTATACAATACGACCGGTGTCATGACATCTTCTACCTCAGAACTGAAGACCGTTTGTCCGGAGAAGTCAGTTCCGCACAATGGAGCAGCTAAGGGTCGACCTCGGCGGCCAAATTATAAACACATTCACCGGTTTCCCCTACCTATAACTGTTCACCCATTGCCCCCTTTAATACCGCACAACCCCCTTTCACTCCTCAGTATTGCCCTCTCATATCTCACCTTCTATATATCTCCGCCTCAGCCAATAACATGCTCAGCTTATTTTGACGCTTGTACCTCTTCCATCCAAGTTACAGATTCCAAGACCATCCGTATCTTATGGGAGATGGGTTTTTTTGGTAAAGGTAGCCTAAGTAGAAGCGAGCCGTCGTGGCTCGAACGCGAGAAAAAAAGAAGAGGGCTTATTGGCCAAAGCACAAGCGAGGAAGCAACAAGGATGAGGCGAGTAGAGAGACGACAATTCAAGCTGGAGAGAGCAAGAAAGGAGAAAGAGGCCATTGCTGAACAACTCAGAGCCGAGGGAAAGTTACCAGAGGGGCCAGCATCAGATATAAGTACGTCGGCCTTAGATGATGAAGCAGCTCGGGAAACGAAAACTGCTGAAGGCAGTACATCTGCACCAAATGATGAACTTGCTGGAAAGACGGCTACCAATCGCGCCAAGTCTGTTCGTTTCTCACCTACGGTGGAAGTGGCAGATATAAATGACGATGTTGAGGTAGAAGACGAAGAGCACCTTCAGCTTTCCAGTGAAGATGCTTTCTTCCTTTCATACGGCCTTGGTGTTCTTGAGGTATATGATGATACCAGAAGCACAGTACTTAAACCTCAAGCACTCCTTGCCTTGCTCCGCCAGCATTCATACTTCCCGCCTCGTGCTCCCTCTGCGGCGCCCGAACCGGACGACCGATTTATGATTTCATACGTTGCATATCACCATTTCCGTTCCCTCGGCTGGGTTGTTCGGTCCGGAGTCAAGTTTGGTGTCGACTTGCTTCTATATAACAAAGGCCCAGTCTTTTCACATGCTGAATTCGCTGTCAATCTTCTCCCGTCCTACAGCCATCCGTATTGGAAAGAGACTGAAGAGAGACGAGAGTATGTGGCTGCAAAGCTGAACCATACGTGGTGGTGGCTTCACTGCGTAAACCGGGTGCAAGCCCAGGTTAAAAAGAGCTTCGTTATGTGTTTTGTGGAGATCCCACCACCTGCAACAGGTAGCAAGCCTGACGAACAGGATATTGGAGAGCTCCTGAAGACATATCAGGTCCGGGAATTGGCCGTCAAGCGATGGGTGCCGAACCGGAGCCGTGATTGATCATATTGATCATATTGTATTTGTATTCTAATTGCATTATATCACCGAGCAGCCTGTATTAGAAATGTAAATCACTCGTCTTCAAAACTAGAAACATAACCATGTAACGATTTGTCCTGGCTGGTGTTTGAAATATCTGATACTCCCCCCGGTTCCCAAAGCAGTTATATTGGATAAGTCAGCGTCGCGCGTTTCGTTCGCGTGGGAAAAAACATCCTTGCACCAACCGCGAAACTCCGAGATTCTCGTAAATCTGCGACTCCGAAGAGCCACATACAAACCGGCTTGCCTGTCTGTCTTTCTCAATTATGTGTCTGCAATGGAAACCCAGGAAGACAGTCTTGACTTGACTTACCTGAGAAGTGCAGCCTTAGGCGTCAATGTGAGTGCTGACAATCCCTGTCTTCTGCCTAGTTAACTACCACGGATTTTCATCCTAACTTCCAGTTTTACTATAGGAATCGCAGGTCTCGTTGAGTAGACAAGCTACTTTCGCTATTACGCGGCTCACATCGACAGCTGCGGGCTATGGTTCACTCCATGAGTATGAAATGCTCAGCAACCGG